GAAATCACGCTAACAAACTAGTCTTCATTCAATATCCTATGAACAAATTTAAGATTATTGGGGAAAAATGTTGCATTACCTTGTAAACACCCCGGGATTATGCAGTACATAAGCAAAGGTTTATTAGAAGCAACTGGGAATAAGAACATTTGGCAGAACAGCAAGGCCTTATGAACAATTTAGAATTCTAATACAAATTTTTTCATGGGGGCAATACAAGTCTTTACAGCATTCTCCCCAAAAGAACTCACTAACATTATAAATTTTCTCACTATGCAGTAGTCCTCAGGATCAATGACTTCAGTCTTAGAAAAACAAAAAACTACAACTCACTTTCTAATCACTGCTGATAAGTTTACAAATGACAAGAAGCAAATGATACAAAGCTATAAAATGCATTAACTACATACTACTTGTACAAAAGAAATATTTCTATTAGTTTAAAGACAGCCACCTTTTTCTAGCAAATAAAACATTGATTTTATACTCTGAAAATCCAGCCTGAAATCAGAACTCTACTGCTTTAGGAGACTGTTTAGTCATGCCACTAACGCATTAAAACAGTCACTGACTACTTTCTATGTACCAAACTCTGATATCCTAAAAGAGTATCACAAATTCCCAGTTCTCTAGTGAGAAACACGCGAAAGGAATTTTTTTTTTTTTTTCATGTCTCAAAGATCTTCCATCTGCTGGCTCACTCCCCAAATGCCCACAACAGTAAGGACTGGACCAGGCTAAAGTCAAGCATCTGAGTCCCGCATGGGTGGCAGGGGCCCAAGTGCTTGAGCCACCATGTGCTGCCTGCCAGGGTGCATCAGCGGGGAGCTTGCCTGGAAACAGAGGCTGTGTTATGATATGGGATACGGATATCCCAAGTGGCAGCTTAACTCACTGCACCAGCATGCCTGTTCCTCCAAACAGAATGACAATACAACCTTGTGTAATACACAGGCACAGTGGGAACTGCGCTGGAAAGTGGGGCTAATGGCAGCCTGACATGCTAGGGCAGGCCTCCTTGAGTTATACCTGATAGGAATCTTAAAGGAGAAAGGGAGAGGTAGAAGGGAAACAGCTTAGGACTAGAAGATGACAAACAAGGAAGGCCCTTTCCAGGCAGAGGAGTCTGCATGACCCAAGGCTTGGAGGTAATAAACTGAATGACATATGGAAATGCAGACAGGTCACAGGAGCCAGACCATGTAGAGACTTGCACGTCAAAGAGAGGACACTGACTTTTCCTAAGAATCAAATGAGGAGCCATGAGAGGATTTTAAGCAGAGAAGTAATGTTACATTCCATTTTAATTTTTTTTTACTTTGGAATCATTTTGATTTTACAAAAAAGTTGCAAAGATAAAACAGAATGTTCCTGTACTGTCCCTCACCCAGTTTCTTCCAATACTAACATCTCAGAGAACCACAGTATCTTTACCAAAGGTAGGAAACAATCACTGATATATTACTATCAACTATACTCTTGTTTTGGGGAAATGGAATTCAGTTTGGGAAGCTTGAGATGTCTTTTAAATTCACAAATTGAAATGCACAGCTATGACTGGCTATGTGAATCTGGCGTTCAGAGAGGGGACTAGGAATACAAATGTGAAATTCTTTGATATTCAAAAAATATGTAAAGTCATAAGACTGAAGATATCATCAAAAGGAGGTATCGAGAGAAAAAGGACCAAGTATTGAGCCCTGGAACACTTCCACAACAAATGATTGAAGAATAGAAGGATCAGGCGAAGGAGACGGAGGAGGAACCATCAACACTGGAAAAGGAAAACCAAGAGAGATCACGGAGAAAGGAGTGATCGGGAGTGCCAAAGGCTGCTGATAACCAAATATAATGAAGAGCGAGAATAATCAACACCCAGATGCCGCTGATGACATTAACAGGGAAGTGTAGGACAGTGTGGAAGCAACAGCCGTGTTAGAGCTGGCTCGAGGAAGAACACAGAATGAGAAAATAGGACAGCAAGAACTCTTTAGAAGGGTTTTGTTGCATGGAAAGGTAAATAAATGGACATTAAAAATACAGAATGGTTAAGAGAAGCACTTCGTTAAGGTGGAAAAATTACACGCAAGGCAAAGGAGACTACTGTAGGTCTCACTCCAAGAGCCACTGGCTAAGACAATAAAAAGGAGGAAAACGCACAAGCGCTAGAACACCAAGAACCTCAGGCCCAGGCTGGAGGCTCCCTGAGGATCAGAAGAAACAGCGACTTAAGCAAAACCATGGTCTTTCAGCACCTGCGTCACAGAATGGACACAACATTAACACTGCACCAAAGCGTAAAGCGAAACGAGAAAAACCTCGTCTGGAGGCATGAAAGCAGTAACAAAGCAGCTCAAAAGAAAGTCACTCACTCTTGCACAGGATCCCTCCCCTCAGGGAGCTTCTAATTTAGTGGAGAGGGTCATGGCACACAGTAACAGCCAGCATTTACTGAGTGGTTACTGTATGCCATATCTGACTAGATGATGCATTTCTGTTAACTGAATCCTCACCACGCTGAGGACGCCCGTGCACTCTCTCCACACAATACAAAAATGTACAACTTATGGGGCTGGCGCTGTGGCGTCGTGGGTTAAGCTGCCGCCTGCACTGCCCGCATCCCATATGGGTGCTGGTTGGAGACCCAGCTGCCGCACTTTCAATCCAACTCTCCGCTATGGCCTGGGAAATCAGTAAAAGATGGCCCAAGTCTTTGGGCCCCTGTACCTCTGTGGGAGACCGGAAGAAACTGCTGGCTTCGGATGGGCAAAGCTCCAGCTGTTGCAGCCAACTGGGGAGTGACCCAGTGGATGAAAGACTCTCTCTCTCTAATTTTTTCAAATAAATAAATAAATCTTTAAAGAAAATGCACAACTTTTAATCTACACTTCTAAAAATCCCATATGGAACCAGAGTTGATAATACTCTTCCTGATGCAGAAAAGGCAGTAATTTGGGGCCAAAGGAATGTCTAGTGTTAGTAAGAAAATAATCAAACAAGATTTGAAATGCAAATCCACAGAGGAGACACCAGGAAAACAAAACAGACTTGAAAGAGTGACTTAAGTATTTAATCTAGTTTATTGCCTTTGGGAAAAAAAAAAAAAGTGGGGATTTACGCGCTTAATTAATACGCGGCTCAGTCACTACCTCCCCAAAGATCTCACCGGATGTCAGATTAGCTGTGTCTGTAGTCTCACATGAACAGAGTAAGCATGACACGTAACAGGTTACATTCACCTGTGTTCCTCCATGCTAACTTAAAAATAACTGGGGCATGTTGTTCTCTAGGATTCTCAAGCAGAGGTAAATCAGAACCCACGGCCTCTAGTTAACCACCATTCATCAATGTAAAACAGCGATTGTGACTGGAAGGCTCTTCACAGGCAGCCTGAGAGGGACCACACTGCAGTGAACCACACCCGGCCTCCTGCATTCCGCCAAGGGACACACCATCCTTCTTCTCCACCACCTAACCCAGGACAACGCGGGCGCCCGGTGAACACAGGCTGGGTAGGACCACACTGCAGTGACCACACCCGGCCTCCTGCATTCCGCCAAGGCACAGACCATCCTGGTTCCCCTACCACCACCTAACCCAGGACAACGCGGGTGCCCGGTGAACACAGGCTGGGTAGGACCACACTGCAGTGACCACACCCGGCCTCCTGCATTCCGCCAAGGCACAGACCATCCTGGTTCCCCTACCACCACCTAACCCAGGACAACGCGGGTGCCCGGTGAACACTGGCTAGGTAGGACCACACTGCAGTGACCACACCCGGCCTCCTGCATTCCACCAAGGGACAGACCATCCTTGTTCCCTACCACCTAGCAAACCCAGGACAACGCGGGCGCCCGGTGAACACTGGCTAGGTAGGACCACACTGCAGTGACCACACCCGGCCTCCTGCATTCCGCCAAGGGACAGACCATCCTGGTTCCCCTACCACCTAACAAACCCAGGACAGCGCGGGCGCCCGGTGAACACTGGCTAGGTTGTCTGTTTCATGAGCTCTGGAGAGTTCACTGTAGCAGATTCAAAACTCACGTCAGGGACACAGAGCACCGCCTTTGAGCGCAGCAGCACGTAACTGTCGCTAACAGCAGGAACACACATATTCAGGAGTCTCCCAATCCGCAGAACTCCTAGGGCGCTAAGTCAATGCCTTACAGGAACTTCACTGCGTGACTTAGCAAAGCAATACGGGCCAGCACTGTGGCAGAGCAGGCTAAGCCAAGCTCTGCCTGTAGCGCGGGCACCCCACTTGCACGCCGGTTCAAGTCCCAGCTGCTCCACTTCCGAGCCAGCTCTCTGCTATGGCCCAAAGCCTTGGGCCCCTGCACCCACGTGGGAGGCCTGGAAGAAGCTCACGATTAGAGGAAGCTACAGAACACTACGCCTGACTTTAAAGCTAGATTCTCAGGAAACAGCAAAGAGTTCTTTCCTGGCCCCAGAGGCCTAGCGGGTTCCAAACCCTGACTTCACTGTGTGGTTTGCAAAGAGCTGGCGACTGAAAACAAGGAAGGGGGCCGGAGCCGTACGACCCAACACGCAGGGATTCAAGGGCCATGCTGATCCCCCAACGCGCCCGGCGCCTCACAAAAGCGCCCGCTGTCCCCAATAATCCCAAGGGCAACAGCCCAACAGGTGCACACCCTGCGGAGGCGGCCAGCGAGCCCCGACAAGCCCAGGAGCCCACGGGGCTCACACGCTGAGGGGCATCCGAAGAGAAGTCCACGCCCTGCGGAGTTCAATGGGTACATTACCAAGAAACTCAAAAAAATTAAATGAGAAAGCAAAGGAAAACAGAAGGCGGCAGCCACTTCCGGACCCTACCTCTCAGGGCCTCCACTTCCGGTCTCCTCCGAAACGCCCGCTCCCACAGACACAGCGCTCGCAGCCAATGAGAGCGTCGGCTACTTCCGCAGCTCGGCGTGACGCCCTCTAAGTCCCGCCTCTTCCGGTAGACAGCAGCCTATCCCGGCGTCTGATTGGCGCCGCTCCGGAGGCGGTCCCGTGATAGGCCCAACCGGACAGCGGGAAGGGCGGGCGGAGCGCGCGCACCTCTTCCGCCCTGGGCCCGGAAGGGTGATGTGGCTGAGGCACCGCCGACCTCACTATGGTAAGAACGGGGGCTGCCGGGCGCCCCTGCGAGGCGGGCAGGGCGCTGCGGGCCCCCGCGGGGGCTGGAGGGAGCCGTGGCGGTGTCTCGGCGCTCCCCGAGCCGGGGAGGTGCACAGGCCCCGGAGCGCTGTGGCCGGCCCCCGCCCGCCCGCCCGCCCGCCCGGCCAGTGTGGGCCGAGCGTCCCAGCAGCAGCGCGGGGGCCCGTGGAGGCCAGTGTCCGGCTTGGGCTGCGCCGGGGTGGCTGGACCTGGCGGTTATGGAGGTCATCTGGGGTCGTGGACCCCCCTAGGCGTCCGGGCTGCGCAGCTCTCCACTTGGGATCCTCGTGTTTGCCTCCTTGTCTCTCCCTGCGGGCTTGACCCCGGCGCCGTTGTTTGATTTTTGGTTTTTTTATTTAACACCTAACGTGCACACCAGCAGTTTCACCTGTTGAATCCGTGGCCTTGCATGCAGGCGCCTCCCATGCTTGTCTGCAGGATGCGCCCGTGCAAACCGCAGGTTGTCGTGATGGGCTTTCTGTGCAGAGGCCCTGAGGGAGCTCATTCCGCGTCTCCCGGCGGCGTCCGGCCGGGGAGGCCTCTCCCACGCCCCCCACCATGAGGTTCTGTGCGTGCAGCGTTGTGGGTTCCTGCCCGTTCCCCTGACGGTTTGGGCCCCCGCAGGCAAGCTTGGACTGGTGAGTCCCCGAGGTTGGCAGAAAGCGGGGCTGACATTGGCAGGTGCAGGATGAGAAGGGAAGCCCGCGAGGCCGGGGACGGAGACCATCATCGGGAGTGAGAGTGCAGCCTCCGCACCGCCCGGGTGAACCGACGAGGAAGCCCACGTGCCCAATGTGGACCGCGGAAGCCTCGCTGTGGGGAAGCCCCGCGTGCTTGGTCCTGCACTCTGAAAAGCCACCGTGGCCCCGGGAAAGCTAGGATTTCCGAGGCGAAAATTCACTGCCCTTGTGTTGCTGCAAAAATCCCGTCCGGCACCCAACCCTTACCCCTTGAGTCAGAGACTCAAGGGTCACCGCTTGTTGGATGCCAGCTGCTTGGGTGTGGGTGGAGCGTAAGTCACAGTCGCCCCTGGACAGGGGTGCCACCTGCTAGAGGCGCCCATGTCAGCTGCTTTCCCCACCTACCAAGGTTCGTTAGAGTCCTTACTGCGGTGCCCTTAACCTGCTGAGAAAATTCACTCCGATTTCAATTTTAATATAGAAGGAAGACTGTCATTTCTGATTCTTTCTAGAGGATGAAATTGCATTATTTGTCACATGATCCAGGTCAAGGATACCTTCCTCCTCAATCCTAGTGTCACGTGGACTGGCTAGCAGCAGCACTGTGTTGAAGATCAGTGGAATTGGGGCTGTCTTGCCTTGCTTTTCTAAAATTCAAGATAATAATAGCTTTCATTTATTAAGCGCTTTCTGTGTTCCAGGTCCAGCTCATCCAGAGACATCTGGTTATAAATATTGTCTTGCTTGAAGCTCACAGCAACTCCCGAGTAGTTTTCCTCGGGAGAGGGACATGGGGAACGAGGCCACGGCCTTGCCTGGGGTCACACAGCTAGTGGGTTGTGAAGCCTGGGTTCAGGTGGGTTTTAATGTTCAGGCGGCTGAGGTCTCCATGCTTTGTCGTTGGAAACAGCATGACTGAGGATGGAGGAAGTCTTGGAGATCTGTTGCCCTCCCACCTAAGTACCGTTGTCACTGCATATCCATGGGACATTGGTTCCTGCCCCGCTTTTCCCACGGATGCCACAGTCCACGGAGGTGCAGCCCCTTAGAGAGAATGAGTGTTTGCCCATAGCTTGCCCACATTCTCAGGTACAGTCTAAATCCTCACTAGACTACTTCCAATAGCTAATACAAATGCACGCTGTGTGAATAGTCCTTACACCGTGATCTTCAGGGGCTAGTGACGGGGGCAAAGTGTACGTGTCTAGTACAGATGGCGTTGTTTCCCTCAACATCTTCATCTGCAGTTGAGCGTGTGGCTACGTAGGGCTCGTTGTGTTGCTTTGCGTGAATAGTGTCGCTCTGAGAGGATACATGAGGGACTGGTAGTGACGCAGAGCCGTTTGGGCTAAGGGAGCTACCTTTTGTGGTATATTCTCTTAAGCTTGGGAGCTTAATGACTTTCCCCAGAGATGCTGTATTAGGCGCTCTATGATGAAAGTCTGTACAGTGTTCAATTAAAGATTGGCATAATTTGGCACGTATGAAGAAGCAAATGCAGAGGGCTCCGTAGGTTGCCCAGTATTAGCACGCAGAGCGAAGCTGAAGGGGACCGGCTCCCTCGGTCACTGAATCCTGTGCCCCTCTCCTGTGCGTGATGCCATTCATGACGTAGGACATTCAAGAGGAAGAGGAAGGTTTGTACGAGGGAGGCAGCAAAGTAATGTCTGCTGCCACAGCTCCTCTGACAGCCTCAGTGAAATGGCATCGCAGGCCAGAGGCAAGCGTTCCTCGTGCCATACACGGAGTTCTCTTCTCACTCGAACTGCACTTGGACGGCACAGGGCGGGAGTCTGAGGGTGGATGCTGATCCTCTCCAGCCGAGTGCCAGTTTGCAAGTAACACCGCCCAGGGGGCTTGGGGAAACTGTAGATGCCCAAATCAGTTAAGTCCAGACTCCTGGGGATTGATGAGCTACACAGGATTCGAATTAGCGCGGCGGGGGGGGGGGGGGGTCACTCCATGCGTTACCCTCTGTGTTCTCCTTTTGTCTTTGCCTGATTTTACATGGTCACAGTACTTAACCATAGCAAGATTTTTCTTTTCAGAAAACTTTCTCTGGCCATGGGTGAAGTGCATATTTTTAATCGCAGTATTTATCATAGTGGTACATTTGCTTGCTTTTAACACTTCAGACACTTCTGTTGCCTTATTTTTAGATCTGAAATATCCCAAGTTAGCTCCAGAGCCAAGCAGCACAAACATGGTAGATTAATTGTAGGTTCCATGACCATGAGATAGAAATAAGGACCAATAGCCACTGGTGTTGCTAAGGCGGACAAATACAGGTGATTCTGCTCTCAGCTGTGGCTTTAACAGGACCAGGGACATAAAATGAAATTCACCTGACAGAGCGAAGTGTGATTTATCAAAGAACAAATTGATCTACTTGGACAGTGATCGCGGCCACGGGTGCTGAAGTAGGTGGCCCCAGAGGCGTGTGTGTGTACATTTGTGTACGTGTCCGCGTTTTCTGTCATAAGAGCTAATAGCGGTATATGACTTGGTAAGTAGAAACTAGTTGGAAGATGCTGCCCTGACCTAGATTCGGAAATGATAACATGCTGCCCCACTTTGCACTGAACTGTTTATCACAGGTCAGGAGTATCATTGCGGTATCCCTTCTGCTAGAGGGGAATGAATTCTGTTTCCATCTAGAAGGAGTAGCAGTTAATACAAGTGACGGTGTTGCCATCTGCAGAGTTCTGAAAATTTGGATTCTTGTTCTCAAGTACTTCAGCTAAATGGAGAGACTAGTTTGTCAGTAAAAATGCATTTCCAACACAGGAGACTCAACATTGCAGCTCCGAGGCAATGTGTGATGCATTAAAAAAAGAGGCCTTATTCAGCAAGGTCGTTCCATAATTTTGATAATCGAAAAAATGGATGAGCTGGAAGGTACTGAAAGGATCGAAAGCTGGGGACAGTGCTGTATGTTTAGTCAGCGTCCTGACTGCAGAGTAGGTGGCTAGAAGCCAGTCTTGGAGCAGTGTCTAGGCTTAGGATGTTTGGTCTGTTAATGTGCGCATTTCCTCTGCTTTGGGTGCTTTCTTTTTAAGCTTCTAATTGGACTTTGCATGGATCTGCCTCTGCCTATGCATTGATGTTACTGCATCTCCTATAGTGGTGGCAGAATGAAAGCCCAGCGGATTCACTTCAGGATGATGATGCAGAATAACTGCTTTCTGCTCTGGGTGAATTAACTCAGTGCAGTAAGGCTACTTTATCTGAAGCCTGTCAAACTGATCAGATGTGAGTGGTCTGATGTGTGTGCAGTGCATAGGGATCATCAAGGGTCTCTGGGAGACATAACTTTGAGAACCTCCAAGCCATGCTGTGTGAAAATGAGCCAACTCTGAGTACAGGTCAAAGGTCAAGGCCTGATCCTTGCAGTTCACAAACCCAGGGCCACTTTTTTTTTCTTAAATGTTTACTGTATTTATTTATTTGTTTGTTTTGAAGTCAGAGTTAGAGAAAGGGAGAGGCAGAGATCTTCCATCTGCTGGTTCACTCCCCAGAGCGGCATAACAGCCTGTACTGAGCCAGGCCGGAGTCAGGAGCTAGGAGCCTCTTCCAGGTCTCCCTTGTGAGCCATCTTCCACTGCTTTTCCCAGGCCATTAGCAGGAAGCTGGATTGGAAATGGAGCAGCTGGTAGACCAAACAGCACTTTTATGGGAGGCTGATGTTGTAGGCAGTGGCTTTGACTGCTGTGCTACAAGGCCAGCCCCTCAGGGTCCCCATTCTGATTGCACGTGAGTTGTGTTCAAGGGAGTGCCACAGGCAGCCCTATGTTGAGGGGATGTTACTGAATACCTCTTTATAAAAAGAAAATATTGATGTCATGGTAAACAATGCCACACACCCCCTTTCACAAACCTGTGGATGTGTTACTTTACATGAGAAAAGGAATTTTGCATATGAGTGTGAAGTTAAGAATTTGGTTGTGGGGAAATTTTCCTGGATTGAGGGTGGGTGAGAGTTGGGAAATCCTAGTCACAGAAAGTCCCAGAGGAGGCTCCTCTGTAACCTCTGCAGGCTGGACTAGCTTCAGGAGGAGCTGTCAGACCCATTGGAGGCCTATCACTTCACATTTGTGTTGTGTTGAGTGTCTCAGTTGGTGTAATTTGTTAGAACACAATAGAAAACATACTCAAGAGGAGAGCTTCATTTGCAACAAAAGCTGTTTTCAATTCATTGAAAATAGAAATTGGTAGACTCTGAATAGAATGTGAACTAATTTGTAAGTATCAAAATTTAAACATGAGTTACTTTTTTTTT